TTTGCAGTTGCTCCAGAATGCAACCGTGAGGCTGCTGACTGGTACTAAGAGGAGAGAAAGCATTTCTCCAGTCTTAGCATCTCTTCATTGGTTACCGGTGCAGCATAGGATCCATTTTAAGACTTTATTATTTGTGTATAAAGCGTTAAATGGTCTAGCCCCATCATACTTGTCCGAACTTCTCAGCTATCAGCAATCCTCGCGCTCTCTCAGATCCTCTGATAAACTTTTCTTGCTTATACCTCGCTCTCGCTTGAAATCTAAGGGGGATCAGGCTTTTTCTGTAGCCAGTCCTAGACTATGGAACAGCATACCTCTGGACATTAGATCTGCGCCTACCCTTCCTGTTTTTAAATCCCGCCTGAAGACTTATCTGTACTCCTTGGCTTTTGGATAAAATTTATGTTTGTGTATTTTAATGTGTTTTTGTATTGATGATGTGTTTTTTTTGTGTGTGTGTCTTTTCCTTTTATTCTCTTAATCTCTACATTTACTTTATTTGTATATGTACAGCACTTTGGTATACACTAGCTGTTTTTAAATGTGCTATAGAAATAAACTGACCTTGACCTTGGTAGAATGAACGAACGAATGATTGAACTAACGATAGAACTAACGATAGATAGAACGATAGATAGATAGATAGATAGATAGAGCAAATGACTGACTATATCAAGGTAGCAGGCTTGTACAGCACTTTGGTATACACTAGCTGTTTTTAAATGTGCTATAGAAATAAACTGACCTTGACCTTGGTAGAATGAACGAACGAATGATTGAACTAACGATAGAACTAACGATAGATAGATACATAGATAGATAGAGCAAATGACTGACTATATCAAGGTAGCTGGCATGTGTTTTAGACCCAGAAACCTTTCCAAGCGACCCCAAAGACCTCAATGAGCAGGTTCAAGTGTGTATGATTAGTATTTGATTACTAAACTATACAGGTTGATCTCTAGGAGCAGGATGGACACCCCTGTCATCGGAGAACCGGACCTGGGTATGAGATCAAGTACTGTGAGAACTCTAGACCCGCGTGAGCTGGGCCGGTGTCATTCCAGCAGGGCTCACTCCTGTTCGCTGAGTCATGCATCAAAGCAGCTGGCTGAATACATCCGTCAACACTGATTCCCTTAACCTGACACAATCCTTGTCTGAAGTTTACCAAGACATATTATTTACAGTGCAGAGTCCAGAGCCTTACAGCATGCATGGGCATTCACACAAACTTTGTTGGGCAAAAAAATCAGTCAATGAACTTGTAAAACCTACTAAATGGAAGATGATTACATTAAATTTTCCTGACAGGAACAACTAAATAAATAAATAAATAAAATACTCTTGAATTCCAATGGTAGGCTGATGAAAATATTGATTATATAATATATTTGAACAACTTGACTCTACATACTAATTAGGAATCAATCCAATCATGCTCTGCATAATGGTATGCAACCAATGATTGTTTATCATGAATCTTCATTTCAGCTTTTAAAAGTACAGTGCCAAACATGCAGAGACACGACAACATTTCCAGTAAGTAAATATAGTGAGCAGCTGATGGTTTTTAACAGCGCACTGTGGGAATTTTTAGGATGCAAAAGTAACACTGGAATTCCAGTTACACTGGAATGAATCTGACAGGACTAGAAATGGATGAGTCCCTGGGCAGTGCAACTAAAATAATGATTCAGACACAACCTTTGAGCTATAGTTAACTTGAAAGTTCTTCTATGTGGTTTAATAGCACTTGTTTAAGAAATATGTTTTGTGCTCAAAAGAAAGCAATATTATTGATAGAGGACTCATATTTTAGCCAGAAGCAATGTTTGAAGTTAAAAACATCTTAATGAAGGAATATAATGGTCTGGAATAGTGATGTGTATTATTGTGATGCTTTTATCAGCTGTTTGGACTCTCATTCTGACGGCACCCATTCACTGCAGAGGATCAATTGGTGAGCAAGTGATATAATGCTTCATTTCTCCAGATCTGCTCAGATGAAGAAACAAACTCATCTACATATTGGATGGTCTAAGGATGAGTAATTTTGTTTTTTTTTAGCAAATTTTCATTTTTGAGTATACTATTACTTTAAATATTGCTTTTCATCATTAAAGCGTGCTATGAAACAATATAGGACCCAAAGCACCTGGTTGTTGCACCACAATAGAAATATTTTCCATAGTAACCATAACCATACAAACACCTAATTGATAATAAAAACTCTATGATAAAAGTAAGTAAACACATAAAAAGATCCAAAAAGGACCAATGATTTTACTATAAAAAAAAGGTGTAGTTATAGTTTGGAGGCATCTCCGTTTACCATAGTAAATATCAAAGCAGGGACAACGATATTAAACTTCAAGGAGACACATTTTAGTTTTGGTGAGTCAAACAACAATTGTATTTACAAAAACCGCTCTTCAGTAAGATGACAAACGGTTGCACGTGGCGTTCACACTCACCTATGGCAGGTGTTTCCGGCACCCATTTCAGCTGGCCGATCTGACGCACCTGAAACGCCGTTTTCACCTCGTGACAGCTGTGAGCGTGCGCGGCGGACAGTGTCGCGAGCTCCACCGCGAGCACCGTAATAATCCAGTTGACATTCACGCGTGGCATGACGGCATTTCAGTGAAGAAATCAATGAGGTGGAATTGCTTAATGATCAGAGACTGGCTGCAAAATGTGTAAAAAGAAAAGAGGAGAAAGTCGCCTGTGTTGGACTTTCACATGCTGCACCGGCTGTAGTGAGTCCTTCCTTCCCAAACCGAGAAGAGAAAAGCGCCGCTGCGTCCCGTTCACTGAGTGTCACTGAATTCATTCAGCATGTGGAATCATTCAGAAATCTCTCTCTCTCTCTCTCTCTCTCTCTCTCTCTCTGTCAGAGTCAAAGCTTTACTGACACTACTGTAAGCATATTATTTGCAAAGCATATAAAGTACTTCATTGTCAAAGACAACGATACATAGTTTAGATTAAATAAAGAAATAAATGGAAAAAGTTTACATATTATTCCTTGCAAAATAATATGAAAAAGTCTACAAATAAAACTTTTTTAAAAAATGTATTGTGTGTGTGTGTGTATATATATATATATATATATATATATATTCGTAGCTTACTTTATTGGCATGATTGTATATTATATTACTGTACATAATTGCCACTGTAATGTTAGAATGCAATTTTCAAAGCATACAATTGCCACTGTAATGTTAGAATGCAATTTTCAAAGCATACTTCAGTCGCAAATCTGCCTCAATTTGCATCAGTGAAATATTCAAAGTATGATCCATAGCAATTCGGTAATTCTGCGTTCAAGATAAAACACAACCTGCCCCGTGTGAGGATCGAACTCACGACCTTCAGATTATGAGACTGACGCGCTGCCTACTGCGCCAACGAGGCGGATACGGAAGGGAAGGTAAACTCTTGTAACAACGCTTCTGATTGGCTGATAAATATGTCTAATTATTTTTTGCCGATTGTGATTGGTTATGAAAGTTTTTAAAAGCAGCTGCAACGAAGTCTTTTTCGTTTTTACGTGTGCTCTCTTCTCTAACGTTTTACTGTTAGTTTTAATATTGAACCACACTGTACTGAATGCTGCTAATATTTCTGTAAAATCAATCCGTTATTTAAAATTAAAATCGCCCACTTACTGATATAATTTCTTATTCTTTATTTAAAAATAGCTTTGATGTCAGATTACGACACTGTAATCTGTGTTCACGGGTAGTCTATGCTTTCGTGATGATTTGCCTCCCTCTGGTGGACTGTTAGTTTGCTCACGCAAACAGAAAGTTGATTTAGCGATCAATAACGTTTCAAGTTAAACTGAATCAATGCACAACAATAAATCCTCTATAATAAAGTATTCAGTGTGTTTGCTAACAATGAAGTGATATTTATGCAAACGCCATTTACATATCTTGTATACTCTTTTCTTTATACTCCACGCAGCATTGTATATGGTTTTAAACTGTATTTGTATTGTGTATTTTTCTTAATTGTTATTTGTATGTTGTGTTGTACTTCCTTTTATATGTTGTATATTCTTTATAGGTATGTTGTAATGTTGGTGCAATGAAGAAGGATAAAATAGGCCATAAATTCAGTGGTCCAATAAACTCAAATAAAAGTCCAACTTCAACTTTTTCTTAACTGCTATTACGTCATGTGATCAACTGTATTATTTCTTAAAATTGTACTGTTCCATATCATCCCGTCTCACATGAGACAAAGATTAAAGTCATAAAATATACCTACCCTCGATTCATATGAAATTCTGTTCCTTTATCTACCTTTACCTTAATATTTTATAATATGACCTTTTTCCTTCACCTAAAAATTAGGATGAAACAGAGTTGATGGAGGCCGAAAAAGATGCTTATAGACAGCAGAATGGTCATGTTACAGCATCGACCAGTAGGGGTTCTCCAAGACCACTTTTTTTTCTCTCCATTTATTTATTTATTTATTTTGAATCGGCCACAAAAGCCCTCTTTGGATTTACATATATTTCTAAAAAATTATAAATACAACTGTACACAGATATATAAATACAATTTATACGTACATACATAAATATGGTTATTTTTATATTCTAAAATAATTCTATTATTCTATGAAATTATATTGCATATAACTTTTTATTATTATTATTATTGTAATAGAATAGGGCCTCTGAATAAAAGTTAGGTGTTTTCCTCCTCGAGCTCCATATTCTCCTATATCGTATTATATTAGCCATAAAAGCTACAAAAAATAGACCAATTAACATAATAACAATTAAAAATAAATGAAAAATAAATTATTTTAGATTCCATTGCTATAAAAATACATGTAATTAATTCACGCAAATAAATAATGTCATATATTCATTCTGTCTTATTGTAAGCATGACAGATTTAGGATGGACTTTTATTTTAAAGTGTCGTCAGTTGTCAGTTCAACTCAGTTCACACAGCAGCGTTTAAAAAACTACCGTCCCGCACACACACACTGACTCAAACACCGCTGAGGCGCGTCAAAGCGTTTGGGTTCTTCTCCTGAAATCCCATTTGTGGAGTATAACGGCCAATCTGTCGTCCTTCACATATTCGATCAATGGCTTTCATCATGATGAAAAAGAAGAGGTTCAAGTTTAAAGTTGATGTGGAGCTGGAGGAGCTGTCATCTGTCCCTTTCGTGAATGGAGTTCTGTTCTGCAAGGTTCGACTGACAGACGGAGGCTTTTCAGATGAGTCTTCGAGGTGAGACCAACTCAACTTATCCTGCTGTATATTATTTTATTCAAGTGATAGGTGTGTGTGTGTGTTTATGTTTATATATATATTTAAAATAAATGTCCAGATGTAACCCTATTTAATATTAATATGAAATAACGTTAAATAATAAATGTATTTCTGTTGTTGAATATATTGTATGAGTGATCAAGAACATCAAGCCTTTTTAATCTTGAAATAATTTACTTATTTTCATTAGGTTGCCTGATTAATGATGAATGAGTTCGAGATGATCAAAGGCTTTTGATGACAGATGACATTTTATGTTCACGTGTTGTCTTTTTTCTTTTGGCTCAATTAACCTAGACGCGCTTAAATCTGATATCGAGACATTTTACGAAATATTGCAGATGATTTTGTTATAGAGGAACGTGTATTTTGGCAGAGGGTGAATGAGGGGGGGGTGTTCTGCTCAACGGGTCGGCAAAAGTGGGCAGTGTCTGATTAGCAAATGCTTTCCTTCCTCTAACCGTCGAGGCTGGACTTGTTGTGGCAACAGTAGTGTGCATTTTACAAAACGGTTACATTCCATATCTGTCGGAATTCCAGACGTTCCTCCTCATAAACACCACAGCCGAAGGTTTACTTGGCATTAGTGTAACTTTGTTTTCAGGAAAAACAAGTACAAAGACAGTGAAAAACTGCTGCAGGAAGCATTATTCCGAAATATGCCTTACAGAATGCACAGTATTTCACAACCAGAATGAATATGATGTAACAGACATTGTAACAAAGTAATCCTCTCCCTGTAGACATTACTGTAATGTGCCTTCTCATTCAAATCTCCCTAGACAAATGCTTTGTCTAAATCACTTTCCCTAATAACACAGTGGTAATGATAGAGCTTATAGAGATTTCATTGTGTATTGAGGCAAAGACAGTAAACACTGTATTCAGATTTCATCTATCTGTCAGTCTGTAATTTAATCTTTCGGTCTGTTTCAGTCATTCTATCATTTTATCTGTATGTCTTGTCTGTCTACACTATCTACATGATCTTTTTTGTGCTTTCTTCTGCAGAGAGCCAGTTCTGGTGAATTGTGTTAAATGGAAGAAAAGATTCGCCTTCTTATGTAAGATGAGTGCTAATGCAGGGACAGGGGTGTTGGATCCATGTGTTTTTCGGATATCTGTAAGAAAGGTATGATCTAACATCCTCAGTGTTGGGGAAGTTACTTTTAAAAGTAATGCATTACAATATTGCGTTACCCCCTAAAAAAGTAACTTTTATGTTACTTAATTACTTTTAATGGAAAGTATGTTACTTTTGAGTTAACTTTTAAGAGTTGCTTGTTTGTTTTTAATATAAAAAAGTAGTTATTTTACAAATGTAAAAGCCCTTTCACAACAAAAGTGAAATAAATATGCCTCAGGCTGAAGGAAATGTAAATTCATGTCTGATCAGTAGGGAGCACAGCTCAAACAAATTGCGTGAAGAATATGAATGTTCAGCAATAACAAAAATTAAACACAAATGTGTCATTTTTGCTTAGTATGGTTGAATTGGATCATCGAAGGTCAGTAGCAAAGAAAAGAAAAATTAACTTCTAAATTCAAAAGTAATGTGTTACTTTACTAGTTATTTAAAAAAGTAATCTGATTACGTAACTCGCGTTACTTTTAATGTGTTACCCCCAACACTGAACATCCTTATTGTTAAATTGGGCTCTAAGCAGTTGGTTTCTGTACAAATGTAGTTGGATTGGGTGAGGTTTTTGATTTTTGTTTTTTCTTTTATGAAGGAGCTCAAAGGTGGGAAGACATTTGCAAAGGTAAGCTCAGTTTATCTGTGGATTATGAAGACTTTTTCTATCAGATCACTGGCACTGATACGGTGTGTGTGTCACACAGCTTGGGTTTGCTGATTTAAACTTGGCTGAGTTTGCCGGTTCAGGAAGCACCACACGGCGCTGCCTATTGGAGGGATACAACACCAAAAACACACGTCAGGACAACTCTATACTGAAGGTACACAGACACACACACACACATACATAGCAGAAAACTTTATAATGACGATGCACAGTTGTCCCCTTTGTCTTGAGACTGCATGTCCTATGAATTTTATTTTTTAGTTTATTTTTATCATAAACATGTGGTTGCTAGGGGACGGGTGAGGGGCGTGTCCCCTCAGATCTGTGTTACTTCATGTTCCGCTTCATGTGGGTTATGTGTGGCATGCTTCGGCCTGTGTTGCGCTGTGTTTTCCAATCCACAACCCCCACCTACTTTTCTCCATGTATTTGTGTGAAATTCCGCATTGCAATGTGTTATTTTAAAAAGTATTATTTATTATAGTCATTCATTTATTCCTATTTTGGCCTGTGTTGCGCTGTGTTTTCCAATCCACAACCCCCACCTACGCCTAGAGCTGTTCACAGCGCCCCCAGAATTCCACAGGCCTGTATCCTTCCACCTCCGCCTGGAGCTGATCGCAGAGCACCCAAAATTCCACAGGCCTGCACATTTATAGCTGTAGAGCCACACACATGACCAGACCATTTTAGCTGGCATCACTGCAGTCCATTAACGGGGTCACACTATGCTTTTTCACTTTTTCAACTTTAGTTAGTCTGTAATGTTGCTGTTTGAGCATAAAAAAGATCTG